TGAGCCGGTGAGATTAGAACCCCTGAACTGCAGATAACAGTCAGCTGAAGTGGCCTGCAGTACTGCACCCTAACCACTGCGCCACCTCGGCTCTTTTTAAAGCATTTTTTTTTACTATCTATTCACCTGAACCGGCAGGGGAAAAAAAATGCTTTAAAAAGTGGGGGGAAGTTGGCCACGCCCACCCGGTCACATGACACCCCTCCCCACCAAGCCACACCCACACAACCAGTGGCCAAAAAAAAAAAAATGAGATTTCCCCACTGCCTCAAAGGCTTATGTAGGACGCGGGAGGCGGGGGGGAGATCTTCCCCCGAATGTTTTGCCTTACCTGATGTTTGGAACCGAAGAGTTCAGGGATTCGTCCAGCAAGTTACCGGTGACGGCCGCGTGCCCTTCCTGGATGGACTGGACCGACGGCATTAAATGGACTGTCCGATAAAGCTGAGCGGCGTGGGGCGAATGGCTGGACTGCATCGTCGTCAACACTTCGGAGGTCAAAGGAGGCAGGGGCTGGGCTACAGTCTCCAAGGGCTGCTTCAGCTTGGCGGACTTGGCGTTGAAGGGCAGTTTCAAGAGGGGGCCGGACCCTTTGGAGCCTGGGTTGGAAGAAGCCTTGGCTTTGCTCCGGTTGGCCCCGGGGGTGGAGAGCAAAGCGGAATCCGGAGAGTCGAGGCCGGAATTGGGATCTACGTCGTCGATGTAGATGATGTCCTTTGGCATCTCCTTGAACTGGTACACCAAGCGTTGGCCCTCCACTTTGGCTAAAATGCCTCTTTGGTAATAGTATCTGTTTCGAAGAAGGGGAAACCACAGCAAGGGTTTAAGCAGAGCAAGTCCCGCTTCAAAGGCGAATTAAGAGAGAGGGAGAAAAAGTTACTCTCCCAAACGTTCCGTTTTAAGGGAATTGACAGAACTTGCAGCTCATTCCCAAGGAGGCGCCGATGGGTGAAAACGTTTGAGCAGGTTCAACTGCACCTTCTGAAATNAGCAGTCTTCCAATATCTGTGTTCTCCATGTGGATGCCATCCTCTTCAAAAAGAGACATCTAGTTGGCTGTCAGTCTTCACCAGAAGTATATTTCTTCTCTCCTGATTGCGGACTAAGATTTGTCTGAAGAAGGAGTGGGGATGACTTCGCAGGGGGTACCAGTCGCTGAGCAAGAAGCCTGGACCAGTTGAGTTTCCTGGATAAGGGAGGCTGAGAGATCGGCCACTTGTGCTCCGGAAGGCTGCTTCTCATGAGGAGACGGCAGGGGCTGCAACCAAGTCATGACTTTGGGTGCCTGGAAGCCATGGAAAAACCATCAAGCTCACAGCCAAAGGGAGCGGCTTCAGTTTGCTTAAAACTTTCTTAAACCACATCCAGATCCTCGTTATTTCAAGGCTAAAAGAATCCTTCGGAACAGCAGGAGACAAAAACAGCCTTCATTCCATATTTTTATCTTTATGGCCTGTTTGATTAGGGAAAAGACATTTATTAGTGACTGAGAATCTTTTGCTGAAAACCCTTTCATCAGAAAGGGTTTAATATGGGAAGAAAGGGATCGCGGAAACATCCTTAAAAAGAGAGGAGATTCAGGTTTATTTCTCCTCCCAGAAGAGAATCTGGGCAGCAGTTCAGGCTTGAACTCCGGGGCTCCTGACGCTTCTCTGCCCTCGGTGGTTTCCTTGCAGGCGCTTCATGAGCCAAACTGGCTGGTTGGTAATTGCTGCAAAGAAGATTCTTTTTCGTCTTCCTTCACAGCTTTTCTTCATTCTTTCCTTTTTTAAGACTGGTATCGTTGAGCTCTTTAGGAAGAAAGCACATCAGTAGTAACCCTTTTCCTTCTTCCTTTCAGTTTGAGCATTGTGACTGCGGCCCTGATCAGATGCCGAGGGTTTGTGGAGACAGAAGAAATTCCGCCCAACTGTTAAACGTGAGAAAGACAAACGTGGGTTTTCGGTTAACAGCTGAATCCATGAATCACGTGAAACCATTATTTTCCTGTAACATTTGTTGAATAAACTACTATCTCCTGTGAACACAGCAAATAAAGCTAGTTTGGTCTAGGAGTTGAGAAGCCAGGCATGAAAGTAGGAGACACAATGAGTTCTAGTCCTGCCTAAGGTCTTCAGGAGTCCATGGTCATAAATATAATACAGGTAGTCCTCATTTAGTGACCGCAGTTGGGGCCAGCAGCTGTGTTGTTAAGCAGAGTGGTCGCTAGACGGGAAATTGTGTAACTGCGGCCACGTTTCCCCTTTTCCTACTTGGGTGCCCTTTGGAAGGCTCGCTCAGGAACCGGGATAATTAGCAAAAAGGGAATTAATGTTTGCATTCACAATTAATGGGGAGGAAGGGATTAATGCCAGAGCCGAGGTGGCGCAGTGGTTAGAGTGCAGCACTGCAGGCTACTTCAGCTGACTGCAGTTCTGCAGTTCGGCTGTTCAAATCTCACCGGCTCAGGGTTGACTCAGCCTTCCATCCTTCCG